GCCGGTGGGTGCGGGAGGAAGGGGGATGGGATGGTTGCTGGGTGTGACGGGGTGCACTTTTGGATGTGTTTGGGTGTCGTGAGCCCAGGAGTGGGGCAGGGCTCATAGCGGCAGAAGGGTTGCCGCGGTACTGATGCTGCGGGGAGCCTTGATGCACGGGCCCCTCGCCTTGGAGGGACGCCAGGAGCGCTGCCCCAACAGCAGCCCAACAGACAGGCGAAGGGTCCAACCCTGCCGCCCAGCCATAGACCTCGAGCCGCCCTTGAGATGCCACAGGCACTCGACTCAACACCAACACCACGGCGGCACACCCGCCGCGCACCGGACGCGCCCCGCAGGCCCAAACGCGACGCGCGCAGCTCTACCGCCCGCCAACGGAATGAAGTTTGAGTCCCAAGTCCTGGAACTCAAACCCTAGTGCTGTGTTGTTGCAACCAATCACGCGCACCTGTCTGTCTACCCCGCGGCCGACCCCTAGGGCCCATATGCTGACTCCCTCCTGCTCATCCGCGAGGCGCGACGCCATGTCCTGCGGGGGCGGGGATGGGGCAGAGACAGAGGGTGTGTGCATTTGTGTGTATGGGTGTGTGCATGCAGTGTGTGTGTGAATGTGTGTGTGTATGTGTGTCAGTGAGTGACCACATGCATGCTTGCACCCCTTCCTGCCCCAACCAATTGCACCCCCACAAGGCATGCCTGTGCGCAAACCACAGAGCCACGGCACCCCATCCGCCCGAACCTCCCAGGCTGCAATGCTCCCCCTCTGCCAGGACCCACGCGGCCCCCCACCCCTAACCCCAGCCCAGCCCGACCCCCAACGAATGACACGTCAAACAACATTGAATGACATTGAACGACAACAATTGACGGCGCATGACATCACCTTGGCCTCGCGCGACTGGTACCCGTCCACCCGGCCGTCTGTCAGCAGCACCACCAGCCGCGCAGCGCCCGGCGCCGGCGCCGCTGCGCCCGGCCCGGCCTTGAGCGCGGCGCCCGCCTGCGTCAGCGCCGCGGCGATGTTGGTGCCGCCGTTCATGCGCACCTTTGTGGGGAGGGGGGTTTGTGTGTAACGCAGGAGCAAATGAGATGACACAGTACAGGGGGTGAAAGCGTGCTGGTTGCGGAGTTGGCGGCGGGCGGGGGAGGGGAGAGTCGTTGCGAGCGGGGCCTGCAGCAGTGCCACAATGGGGTGCGGCCAGGTGCTGGGAACGCGACTGACAACGACCCAGTTGCGGCGCGCGGCAGCCAGGCAGACAGGGCGAGCAGGAGACGGGAGGCCAGGCGGGGCGCGCCGTTGCCGCGCGTCGGCGCCCCCGCGATCGGTCTGCGTGGCACCCCTCTCGTCTCTCTGTCTCTCGCCCGCGCGCGGGAACGCACCATCTTGCCGACCGTCTCGGCGAAGGCGGCGGCGTCGCCCACCGGCGCCAGCGGCACCTCGGTGCGCACCGCGTTGGAGAACTGCAGCACGCACACCTGCGAATGGAACGAAAAGACGAAATGATTAAGTGACACTCCAAATTGAAATTCGCAGAGCCGCGTTCCGACACGTCATCGGCCTTCTGACACACGGGTCGCTTGTTGGCTGGCCTCACTGATAGTTCCAAGCCGCCGTGCTTTGCGCCACCGCGGGCTCGATATCAACCAAAGGCGGGAGCGCCCGGCCCCGCTGGGGCGGGCGGCGGCGCCAGCGCGGGGGCCCAGACGCCGGCCGCGGACACCCCCTCCCAAGTGACCCTGCCGCGCGCCTTGGCCCCGGGGCAGTGCTGCGTCAGCGACACCGCGGCGGTGGTTATGAATGACGTCATCGAGTCGAAGTCATCTGGTGATGGGTCGGGGTGCGGGTGGTCGGGGTGAGGGAGGGGTAGGGGACTTGCGTGTCAGGGCCC